AAAAAAAAACGATCCCCTCCCCGGGGGGAAAACTCCGTAGTTTACGGTACATACATACAAGCACACATGTGTAATATAATTAACGAAAAATAAAGACATACACAGAAAGACTACCCATTCATTCGATGTGTGTCAATAAATATATGCTCAACTCCGTCATGGAAATAAAAAAGCGAGGAGGTTCAGCAGAAACACATCGGTTCACACGAAACAGAGCCGTGGCATATCAACATATGAGGGCATTGCCGCACCACAACCAATTGACCTATGGTCTACTATCTATATTTGCGATACACACCACATAAGCATATACAGGCACGTGAGCCCATGCACCACCCACCGTGTGGGCCACATGCGGCGGAACTACCGTAAGAAAAACGGTCGGAGTGCAGATCTCCTCTGCTAAAAAAGCCTTTGTTGCAGAAAGCTCATGCCGATCCAGGGCCAACACATCAAGAGATTGATGTGTGTGCGCACACAGAACCGTCCGCTATCCTGTTCTTACAGCTCACAACACAAGGGCCGACTCGCGTTGCACCGAGCTGGGCACTGCCGGCAGGGCTCTCCGCTAGTCTGGTGGAGTGCTTGCTGCGGTCGAAAGCCAGGTCGTGCAATTCATAGCCCCCGTTGCATCTCCTGGGGCACAGGCATCGCTCGTTTGCCGCACGCATACATACAGCAGATCGGCCACTAGCGCGACACAACAACAGCATCGGTGCCCAGCTAACGCATCCCGCGGCTAGCCACGGTTGCTGGAGAGCGTTGCAGCTTCAGGAGTTTGAGTTTGCACGGCTGAGGAAGCATGGTGAGTTGTGCTGGCCTGCGACGTTTGCTGTGTGTGACACATGCCAGTCAGCAGTTTTTTGGGCCGTGGGTACAGACTGTGTGTCAGTAGCAGCAGCAGTAGTTTGTTTTGATCCGAGTCGTTGCGTCTGTGACCTGATGCCACCTGCGGGACAGCTACAGCTGCACGCTCGAGATGTTTGTCCAGCACTGACTTGCATCCCCTGGCTGAGTTGCTCTCTGGTAGCTCCCGTGTGATATCAATTGATCCATTCTTGCGGCAAACATAAACATATTAATGGCGTCGAAAAGACGACTGTTTTTTCCGTTTTTGCTCGCACACATTTCTTTGCATGATTTTGTGCTCATGATCTTCACGAGCCTCTTCACCCGTTACATTTCATTTTTGCACAATCAGCATGCGAACAAACAAACCTCTCTTTCCACCACGACTATGCACGTCTACTACCACACGACCCCACAGCCGTCAGTGGAGCTGCTGCGATGGGCCGAGGCTACGGTGAGGGGCCGCTCAGGCGGCGAGAACGACGCCGTTTTCGCGAGGTGGTTCGACGCGCAGGGGGAGGTCTCGGAGACGCATACGTTTGCGAGCGTGTGGGCGGAGGCAGGGAGGATAGCGCATGAGCTCCGCGTGTCGTGGGGGCTGGGGAAGGGGGACCGGGCGATCCTGTGCTACGGCTTCGGCCTCGATTTCTTCGCGGCGTTCTTGGGTTGCCTGAGGGCGGGAGTGCTAGCGGTCCCTGTGTGTGAGTCGTGTGTCTTTGTTCATGATGTGTATAGGTTGAGATGAACGTGGTAGTAAGGGGTCAACGTCGGCGACATGCTTACATGTGTCGTTGGATGTATATGGCGGCACGTGGCTTTGCATGTGCCGACGTGTTACAGCAGTAGCAACGGGCGTTCAGGCGCGAGCAATGCATCAACCGAACCGTCAAAACAGTTGTAGCTTAGAAAAATCCTTACCAGAAACTTTCGCTGCAAAGGCTTGCGGTTTAACCCTCGTGCGACTGCTGTGAGGAGTACATACATGTGTCGTTAAGGAGTCTTGTGGAGACCGTTCATCTGCATGACCCCGGCTTGTGTGCACACGTCGAGCGATAATTATTAAAAAAATACTTGATTGTAGTGGAGATCTCCTTCTTAAAGGGTGGTATCTCCCCACCGTCTGCTTGTCGAGGCCTCACACTACTGATCTAGTTATTTTTTAGTCTTATTTTAGTCTTATAGTCTACAGCAGTGTAAGGCTACGCCCAGTTCCTCACAAAAATATAGCATAGGTTGTACATGCATTAGCGTTTTAACGAAAACGCAACAACTTGAACGTACTACTGTATGTAGCGGTAGGGATTGGCGCATACACAGGTCTGTATGGAGTATGGAGGGTACGAAAAAATCGAGGAAGCGTCTTTTTGCAGTTCTGTTGGTTTCAACTTTACGATTTCTCTCGAAAAGCCACCGGACCTCTCTCTCTCTCTCTTTGTCCCTCTTAGTGTTTCGGTCGCTGTCTCGAATCGGCAAACCAAGAGAGGTATCTATGACAGCAGCGCCGCTATTCCTAGCTAAGAATAGGACAACACCCCGAAGTTAAGGTTCATTCTCTCTCGATGCGTAGCATTTAAGAACGACTGCCCGCTCGAGATTGCTCAACATTGGACTGACTGGGTGTCTTGAGTTTCTTTATTGTGGCTCGGCTCTTCCTACGGACCTCTCACTCCCTCCCCCCCTCCCGCACACACACCGCCCTCCCTTCCCTCCCCTCTCAGATCCCCCGAGCCCCCTGACGCTCAGCAAGTCGCTGACGAAGCTCCAGGGCATAGTGGAGGCTTGCGACCCCAAGGTCATCCTAATCTCCGGGGATGTCAACCACCTGAGACTGGCGTCCAAGCTCAACTTTGTGTCGTCCGCGCGACGCCTGTGGCCCGACCTCCCGTACAAGGTCGCAAGATCATCAGGAGTTTCTAGTGGGGGGGGCATCTCGAAGTGGCTCGGGGGGGGGGGGGGGGACA